CCCCCACCCCACATGGCACTCTCGCCGTGCATAACAGAGTTTCCCCCCCAACTTCGATCATGCCACAATCGCTGCTCAAAAAAAATAAATGAAAAAGGTAAAAAAAAAAAGGGAAAGAGAATGGGGAGAGAGATTAGGGAGATCTTCTCCTCCCCCCACTCCACATGACACTCTCGCCGTGCATAACAGAGTTCCCCCCCCAACTTCGATCATGCCCAAATCGCTGCTCCAAAAAAAAAACTGAAAAAGGTAAAAAAAAAAAGGGAAAGAGAATCGGGAGAGAGATTAGGGAGATCTGCTCCCTTCCCCACCCCACATGACACTCTCGCGGTGCATAACAGAGTTTCCCCCCCAACTGCGATCACACCCCAAATCGCTGTTCCCCAAAAAAAAAAAAACGAGAAAGGAAAAAAAAAAAAGGGAAAGAGAATGGGGAGGGAGATTAGGGAGATCTTCTCCTCCCCCCACCCCGCATGACACTCTCGCCGTGCATACCAGCGTTCCCCACCAACTGCGATCACACCCCAAATCGCTGTTCCCAAAAAAAAAAAAACGAGAAAGGAAAAAAAAAAAAGGGAAAGAGAATGGGGAGAGAGATTAGGGAGATCTTCTCCTCCCCCGACCCCACATCACACTCTCGCCATGCATAACAGAGTTTCCCCCCCAACTTCGATCATGCCCAAATCGCTGCTCCAAAAAAAAAAAGCAAAAAAGGTAAAAAAAAAAAAGGGAAAGAGAATGGGGAGAGAGATTAGGGAGATCTTCTCCTCCCCCCACCCCACATCACACTCTCGCCGTTCATACCAGCGTTCCCTACCAACTGCGATCACACCCCAAATCGCTGTTCCCAAAAAAAAAACCCGAAAAAGGTAAAAAAAAAAACAGGGAAAGAGAATGGGGAGAGAGATAAGGGAGATCTTCTCCTCCCCCCACCCCACATCACACTCTCGCCGTGCATACCAGCGTTCCCTGCCAACTGCGATCACACCCCAAATCGCTGTTCCCAAAATAAAAAAAACAAAAAAAAGGTAAAAAAAAAAACGAAAGAGAATGGGGGAGAGAGGACATACCTTTGCGAGTCATCGTGGATTGAACTTCAATTTGGACAACGCTGCTCTCCTACTCGTTCTTAGCTTCTCAATTGCTCTCCTTTCATGTATCCTCCTCTCATCTATTCGCCAAGCATCTACTCCTCTATTCTCACATGTTCATCTCCCTTCTATAATTGTTGATTTGTACTAACATCTCCTTCTCTTCTAATCTCTTGACATCCGCCCTGAAAGTAAGCACACTACAGAAGACATGTGAAGCACAACCTGCGTTGTGCAGGTTTGAAGTTGGAAGGGAATCGACGACGGCGTCGCCGTAATCCACGACGTCGTCGACGAAGTAGAGGCCCGTGACTACTGAAAGACAACGGCAGCCAACCGAAACGAGGCCAGTACCAAGGCCGCAAGAGGCCGGTACCAAACCAAAAAATAAAAAGGCCTGTACCAGGGCAGAAGAGGCCGGTACCAACCCTGAAAGAGGAAGGTACCAAAAAGAAAAAAAAAGGCAGGCCGGCACAAACGAAACCAACGCCACTACCCACGAAAAAAAGGCCGGCACTTTTTTCATTATGCTCTTCCCGCGGGCCCAACGCCACATTCGCGACATTGCTGCTGCGTCATTCCTATGCGACATTGCTGCTGCGTCATTCCTATGCGACCTCCGTTTGCCTGCGCCTGCCTCCGTCGGCCTCCGCCTGCCTCCGCCTGCATTCGCCTGCCTGCGCCCGCCTCCGCCGGCCTCCCCCGCCCTCTGTCTACGACCGGCCGTCGCCACAAGGTACTCTCTCTCTCTCTCTCTCTCTCTCTCTCACTCTCACTCAAAAAGGTCCTCTCACTCTCTCAAAAAGGTCTCTCTCTCTCTCTCTCTCTCTCTC